ACAACTTTATCATATAGCTACCATATGAAAAATTGGCCTGATATTTAGTTTTTATATGAAAAACTATTGTTTTTCATTTTGATGCAACAATACTTTGGTAATTTTCGTACATAACCTAGGAAACTTCAGTAAAAATCTGGATACTATAGGTTATAGCTGCCATAGGAACAATCAGTGTAAAACGAGTTTTTTGTGTAAAACCTGTGTAAAAAATCAGTGTATTTGTGTAAAGCAGTGTAAAACCATACGGCACTTGAACTAAACTTTCTTACATTGTTAAAATGCTCAAGAATATTATACAAAAAGATTTGTTAATGCCTAAGAGTGCCATCACAACTAAAACTCTAACGAAACACAGAAAAGAAAAACTAAAAAGTTCACGATTATGTACTAAATACAATGAGTTACCCAAAACACAACACATACTACATAAGTATACTGTTTGTTGCACAAAAAAAGTTAATACCTTTCTTTAAAATATTAATCAATTCTATTGCACAAATACTTGGCTTTAATAAGTTTAACTCATTTTTTGCAGAGAGCTCGTTGCTTACTCCGCAATACATAATGAATATCATGCTATCTCTTTCGATGCTATTCTTAGAGAGGGCAGATCGAGCAAAAAAACAAGAAAGCAAAGCTAACTTCGGGCGGAGCCGAAGTTGATATACCCTTGCAGTTAAAACCGGATATATGTCGCAAACATCGGATATAGTTGGCCGATCCTTATGATTACATCATAATAAAAACAATTAATTACAATAAAAAATCTAAAAAAAAGTTCCAAGCTTCTATCTTCAAAAATACGAAAGTTGAAATTTCCTGAAATTTGAAATTTCCGATCCTTATGAAATTTGGCATGTCGTAATATTTTGCCAAAAATAGCTCTCGTGTCAAATTTGAACTCTCTAACTCTGAAAACACCAAAGTTATACCATTTCCGATCAATCAGTTATATGGCAGCTATAGGATATAGTTGGCCGATCCGGGCCGTTCCGACTTATATACTGCGTGCAAAGAAGGGTGTGTGCAAAGTTTCAAGACGATAGCTTCAAAACTGAGAGACTAGTTCGCGTAGAAACGGACAGACAGACGGACAGACGGACATGCTCATATCAACTCAGGAGGTGATCCTGATCAAGAATATATATACTTTATAGGGTCGGAGATGTCTCCTTCACTGCGTTGCACACTTTTGGACAAAATTATAATACCCTCTGCAATGGTATAAAAAGATGAATAAATTCAAATAGCTTTCCAAATTATAAATAATAATTGGTACATTTAAAGTCAAAATTTGGACTTCGGTTTTTTTTATATTTTTATGAACACACAGCTATGGCCCAAATAAATCATTGGGGACTCTTATGCAGTAAGTATTTTTTATGCCGATACAGTCACACAAAATTTTATACATTTACATCTTTACATTTTTTTAAAATTTTACGATTTCTGCTTCTTTAATTGTAAGACTTAAACTTAAATATTATTAAAAATAACTAAATTAAGGCCATTCATAAAAAAATAATAAAATTAAGTAATAAATAAAGAAAATTGAGGCAAAACAAAAAAAAAAAGTTTTTTTGGTTTTGTATTAAGGCAAAAAAACGCCTGTTTCTGCAAATGTACGACTTTTTTATATTTTTTGAATCATTAAAAAAATTGGCAGCACTGCTCCTACTACCCCTATCGCACACTGGTTCCCAATGCCCAATATTTTTACAAAACTCTTTTTTTTAACTACGAAAAAAAAACAAAGTAATAGAGCATTTTAAAATACCATTTTCGTTACTAAAATTACAGCCATGCAAAATTCGGTAGCTTTGAAAGTCAGCTTTTCTTTTATCACAACGTTGGCTTTTTGGGAAGCTGAAGTGGATATAAATTTGTAGGTATGATTTGATACATGTGGCAAATATCGCAAAAATATTTTGTGTGGAGACTCTAATGTCCCCCCTCGCCCAAATTTTGTGAATCAAAATCCCTTCATTTTACCCAAATTTCTCCCAAACTGATAAACTTCTAGAAAATGTTTTGACAAAATTTATCTAATTAAAGCAATAGCTTGTAATTGCTAGTCTTGAATATTATTGAACACTAAGACTTGAAGTTCGTCATCTGTGGATTAGAGCTGGGATAAAATCGATGTCAACATCGATTCTTTCGACAAAAATTCCTTTTAAAAAAAGAAGAAAAAATCAGGCGCAAATAAAGTTAATTTAAAAAAATATATTTAAATGTTTATTTTAGAACAGCTATAAATATTCGTTTTTTATTTTCTTAGTAGGGCCGGATCCATAGTTCCGATAGACGAGCCGCTCTTAAATATAAAACGGTAAACAAGCTTATTTTTGGCAGTAAGAACCTATGGATTACAGAAATGTATTTTATTTATGTTAAGGGGTTTATTACAGTTGTACCGCACAAAAAAATGGAATTTTATCGATTTTTTTTTGACACCATAGAAAATATTTATGAAAAATGTTTTACCGACGTTGTTTAGTACATGTTTCTGGGTACTTATTTAAATTTTTTCATAAAAAAATATTACATAATAAAAATGTTGTAGCCGAATTCCCGGATCGTCTTTTTTCGAAGGTGTGTTCAAAAATATTTCGTTAGTATATTGTATTGTCCAGTCCATGAACGAAGGATTTTTAAAAATTTTGATTAACAAAAAAATGACGTTTTAAACAAAAAATTTACTTTTTCAAGGTATAAGATTTTTTTGCTTTAAAAAAGGAGTTTTCAAAAAAATTGAAAATCCCTCGGATTCACGGACTATCTAATATCATAATATATAAGTGGTCAAAATTTGGTGTTGATCGGATTAGTCGTTTTTTAGTAATCATGTCCACCGCAAAGGTAATTTCCCAAAAAAAACGATTCTGAGATAATCGCGTTTAAAGTTTCAAGTTTGTTCAAGTTTTATACATATGCAGGTAGTGCGCTCTAAATAGCTACAACTTCGGTTCTATTGCTCCGATCGTTATGAATTTGAGAGTATTCTCAACAGTATATAATTAAAGAATATGGAATAAAAAAAAAAAAAAGATTTTTTAATTAATCACAACTGTATATAACCCCTTAAGTTATATATTTTTCGTTTTGATTTTGTTGAAACTTGTATTTTTGATTTCATAGAAAAGTGTTTGTCGGGTCAGGCAGCAGCGGTGTAATTTTAATGTTTAAATATGTTAGCGTAATGTTTGGTAATGTTTATTTATGGCTTAAGTTTATACAAAAGCTTAGTTGATCGCAAGCCGACTCTCTCTCGGCCGCTCGATTCAACGGGCTTTCTATAGAGAGTTTTAGCTCGCAGTGTCTAGGTCGGGCCGCCCTCTCCATTATTTCGAGAGCTTTAGCTTCGCAGTGACCAGTCGGGCCGCCCTCTCTGTATTACTTTGGTCTCTGCATGCACCATAAGCTGGTCTATCAGATGATCATCAGGCTTCATCTGCAGGCAGAAATAAACATTTTTATAACGTTCATACTAAATTTAAATTCGTCTTTTATTTACGGCATTGAAAACGCTCAATGACCAAACAGTGTTTTTGTTTTGTTTTCTAAATAAATAAGATCGATTGGTATATTGGTATATAAGCCAATATACATGTATGGCAAAAAAAATTTGTTTTTTTTTTTTTTGATTAAATAGATTTAATCTATGTTTTGTTTTTAAACATCGAAAATAATCGATGCACTGAGAATCTACCGTGGACTTCTGGGAACAGTAGAAAGACGGATAAGCATGTCCGTCTGTACCTCTGTATGTCTTTCTGTCCCTCAGAACTAGATTCTCAGTTTGAAAGATATCGACTTAAAACTTTGCACTCAGTTTTCTTCTCTTCGCACGCAGTATACTTATACCTATATAGATCTATATAGATGAATATAGATCGGATGACTATATTCATCTGATCCCTGAAGTGATCGAAAATGCCGAAAATAACACTTTAAATGTGTTCTACTTATAATCGGATCGAATTGTAGATCTTTTCCCAAGAATCGGCTGACTATATCTTACAGCGAGAGTGCTGGGAGCAGACGTGGAAAAAATGGACTCTCTGAGATCCATGCTTGACACATGAAAAAAAGAGGGAATCAAGTCGAGTTTTCCGAGGTTGTTTCATACTTTTGATTGTTTTTAAAGTAACAACTATACGAAAGAAAAATGTGGGGAAGCGGTTGGCTTTGAAATTGAGAGTCTAGTTCGCGTTGAAACAGGCAGATAGACCGACATGTTTATATCAACTGGTATTTTGATCAAGAAAATATTATTCATGGAATCCGAGATCTCAATACGTTGCACACTCTTGACAACTTGTGTACTATTTGGCTAAAAAAATACATCGTAAATGTACACATTTATTTTTAGGCGTAGGTATCTGCGTATTGACCTCAGCTGACAGAAAAAGGATAATCCAATGAACAAATAATAAAGCGTCCTTGCAAGGCGTGACCCCTGACATGGCGGACGATTTTAAATCGATTTTACAGTCAGAGCTTTAAATGTAATTAATCCAGGTCTAAAATATCTTCTTTATCTGCAACATTTTTTTTCCTTCATTACTTTAAAAAAGTGTTAAATAAAAAAAGGGCAATAAGCTTTAAGATTGTGCAATACACCCCAGGATACGCATATCCCTAAAGTGTTAGCCAAATCCATCGTATGGGACTTTTAGGAAGTTCACTAGGTGTTTTGATTAAAATAAACCTTTTTCTTTTTATTTTTTATGACTCAGTTCTTTAAAAAACTTACCTTTATTGAAAATTAAGGTTTTCAGGTATCTGATATTCTGAAAGCTCGAATATACTCTATAAAAAAAGACGTGGATCTAACATCCCGCCCGCCAAACTGCCTATTAAAATAATAAATGGTTACATGCATATTCAAAATTAAACCCCCCTTAAATTTTGTTCTTTCATTTCTCCAGCCCCAGAGTTACTATGGCTATGGTTACTTATTTCCTTAAAGTAGGCTTAAAAGTCTCGTATATTTACAGTTGGCAAGTTAAAACATCGAAATACAAAATAAACTCAAAAGAGCATGCTGTAAAGCGCTGCGTATGCGCAATTTCTGGCAAACGCCTTCCCTTTTTTATTGATTTTCCCCGCGTATTTTTTGCAATCGGAAGGTTTCTCTTGGTGGCATCGATGTCGAGGCATCGAGAGGGCGATTTTGTGGCACGGAAATTCAGAATCTGCGAGACCAAAAAAAAAAACCCAAGCCAAAAGCACGGAACGTGGCTGCGAAACCAAAGGAACAAACGGCATAAGCAGACAAGCCCAGGTTGCCCACCAGGTCCCTTCCTACCCATTGAATACTAAGTTCTTGAGAAAGTTTCAACCGTTTCTTCCGCACAGCTTCGGTCACCCTGAAAACTGTGGGCCGCGTCGCTGCGCAATAGCGTAACATAAACAGCAACATCACAGAGAGCGAGGCTGCAGCATAGTTACACCCAAGACCTGTGTAAGCACAGCTCTCGTGGCTGTCGTAGTCACCACGCCCCCATTATGCGATTGGTCCTTGCGGCATGTACAAAAGAATAAGCATAAGAATTTCGTGTGAAAAAATGATCGATATGAGAGCGAGCGGCGACACATTTCGTGGCGGTTGTTGGACTTGGGCTTTCAGGGTGCCAGGAACTGCTACTGTCGCCGTGGGCGATGTGCGAATGGGTAAAATGCCCCACTGCCGTAGGTCACAGAGCTTATAGGGTCTTAAAAACTTGGCAAGCAGGGAACCAACATGGGACCACACTCCACTGCGTGTCATACCTATTTGCAAAAGGGAATGTGCCAGTGTCCTAAGCATCGATAAAAGAGTGACCATCCTTCCTGGAAGGGAATTAATGGAAGAAACCCCAATGGCTTTTCTTTAAGCCTTTGAATACCAGAAACCGATAGGGACCTAAGACGACGACAAGAAAGTCGCGGGTCCTCGCGATGGTTTATATGGTTGTATATGGTTTACAAGGCCATATACCAACCAAGTTCATTGAAGCTCCATTTCAATTTCCGGAAATTCCCAGTTATGTAATGACATTTATCAAAGAACATTCCAGTTGGCTCGATGACTAATTCCAGTACTTTGTTAATTGGTACAATAGTCTTCTCGGTTTGGGTGAAGGGGATCGGCCAACTAAATTTCGTACATACGAAGCAAAATTAATTTCATTTGGATTTACATTATGGCTTTGTAATGGGTATTATAATTTTGATCAATATTAATGATTAAAAACTAAATTTTTAATAACACAATTTTTGAAAATTTCCTAAATTTTTATCTTCATAAACATCATATTGTTTCATTTCCGATAGTTCAACTATATGGCAGCTATAGTATATAGTTTTCGACATCCGTTTTATATATGTATGTACATATATACTGCTCCCATAGGATAGTAGGGTGTGTGAAAAGTTTGAAGTCTATGGCTTTAAAACTGAGAGAATAGTTTGAATAATAGCACAACGGCAGTCGGATAAGCATATATCGACTATCGTGATCCTGATCAAGAATATATTTTTTTGAGTCAAAGATGGCTCGTTCTCTGCGTTGTACACTTTTGACAAAAATTGTAACACCCTATACCAGGTGTAACAAGAAAAGATGACTTATAAAAGTAGCATCTGCAATAGAAGTCGTTCCGACTTTATGATACCGACTAATCTCTTCCTACCAACATTAGAATTATATAGATTAATTATTTATATGAAAATGGTGCAGTCGAACCAATTTAATATAATACAAATAAAAAAGCAAGAAAGACGGCTATAGTTAGGTTTCCCGACTATATTATACCCGGTACTTATCCCTTCCACCAACAAGTTTTCACACAAGTTTTTACAAGTTTTTCAAAAAACCTTCCAGTATTAGCACTACAGAACTCTTCAATTAGTGGGGGGCGGGAGGGGTCGTGGCCAAATTTGAAACAAAATTGAACTGCGTGGGCATTATAGGAGACTCCATGCCGAATTCTAAGTCTTTATCTCTTATAGTCTGTGAGATCCACGCGTTCATACATACTCACAGACGAACATGGCTATATCGACTCGGCTGTTGATGCTGATCAAGAATGTATATACTTTATGGGGTCGGAGTTACATCTACAACATACCTTTGTACTCTACTAATATCGAGTATAAAAAAGGGATAAGAAATGTATGGACTTTTAAAAAATGTTGTAGAACGAAAAACATACTGTCTATCTTTAATTTACGATTGTTATAGGTTATAAGCACTAATAAACACAATATATACGAAGGAAGGAAAAATATGAATAATATTAGACAAATAAATAGAAAATTGCAGCTTGGAAAATCTTAACTGCAAGGGTATATCAACTTCGGCCCCGCCCGAAGTTAGCTTTCCTTTCTTGTTTTATTTGAGGTGGTATGCATGCATATGAGACATATGAACTATGATGGTCAACGCAATTACACGGCCTCAATACATGACAAAATTTGATCAATTTCATCTCTTAGGTGTACCGCGGAAACTGCGGGTGACGGAACCTTTGTATGTTTGTTCTGCACTTAGGTTCAGTGGAGCCTAAAGGTTATGGAGCAGTCTAAATTATGCGTGGAGTAAAAAAAATGAAAATTTCCGGCCTTTGTAACTATTCAATAGGAGCTCAGATTTTCATACTGGAGCTGAAGTAATAACAATTAGTTGAAGAAGCGTTTGGCATCAGAAATAAACTTTTCTTTTTCGTTAGTTCTTATTTTTTTGTTCGTAACATGAAGATTAATCCGCAAAGGTGAAAGTGAAAGTTGTCGATGCTTCACTTTGGACACCCCAATTTTCACTAGACGTAGGTTTTGTCATTGTTGCGAATTTGGCGAATGCCGTCATCATCAACAGAGCACCGCTTAGCTTGCTTGAGTTGCAGTTTAATTTTCAGTCAATTTCTAGGCCGATTGCTGGTTTTAATTAATTTTGAACACGTTTAGTGAAGATATGCGCATGCCTGTGACCTTGAGCCATTAGGCCTCGTTGGAAGAGTAATGAATGTACTATATACATACATACATGCTCTGTCCGAGCCCATCTCCGTGGCAATGTGCGAGTGTGTGGCGAAACGAGTAATTACCACTTGAATTTTTCAAGAGCATAAGTCTCAGGCTCGGGCGCTGTCTCCGAACTGCAATGGTAAAATTGAATAGTTAGACCGCCAAATCGGGGGTGGGGGCAACCGACTAGATACTGGCATCGTGCTACAGTCAACGAGGTCAACGAACTCCTATGGATCGGAATATCGATTTAGACCCATGTATGCATTAGCATGTGTACGGTGTTCGTACACTATTTGTTTATGGCAAATTGTAATGCCATGGAAAGGTTTTCCCTACTGTGGGTTGGCATGGGATGGCAGGTCCAGAAGAGTTCTGGCCAAATTTAAACATTTACATTATATGCCAATTCAAACATTGAAAGATATGAATAAAACATTCTCAACTGGAGAAAATAAATTCAGTCCGCAGCCAAGCAAACAAAGATTTGCCCAAAACAAAGGAGTAATACTGAAAATCATAACGACTGGCCAGAAAACAGAAAAGTAAAGCAGCGCTTTGTCTCCAACCTGAACTCAATCGCATATCGTATATGGCCTGCGAATTCCGAAAAACATGGAGTGGGTTGGAATGAGACTGGTCCGAGTTTTTGTATCTGCATCTGTATCTGTACCCGTACCACTCCATCTGCACTTCTGACGCTCAAGTCTGCATGGTAGGGCAAACAATGGTTGCTGAGGCCGTTGATGCTGTGTGACGCTGACAGTGGTTAGGCCAGCGGCAGTAACGACAACCAATACACGGTTCACTCCCGGGCTTCCATAGCAATGCCATCCTCCGGCCTCCATTCTCCGCCTCGCCGCACCACACCACGACACACACTCGCACAAGTTCACGTTTTTGCGCACAGGCGCATTGCAAAAGAAATGGCGGCTTCTGACCCAGGTCTTGGCGTTTGTTCGCGCTGCCTCGAGTATCCATGTTCGGTGTACGATGCTCGGGAGACGGCAAATACTGCCGCTTGCTGCTGTCAAACGCATAATATGCTGAGCCGCTGTCAATTGTTAGAAAAAATAAAAACACACATGGAGTACTCGACGGGGACTCACATCCTGTCTTGGACGGGGACACCGATCCGCTCGTCAACGACCATTTGTAGAATGTACTATATACTATCTGTATTGCTGAAAATACTGCAAAGTACCCTATGAACTAGTTTCGATAGTTTATTCTACATCGTTTGTCTGCGAACAAATCATAAACACCGTCCACTTACCAAATCCCTCAATAATATCAAATTAAAGAGGAATACAGCATTCTGCACATATGTAGTTTGAAATTTGTATTGAATAACTTCAAACTCTAAGGATTATAGTATTATTCCAATTTTGAAAACTCCTTGATTGTTATTTTTATTTTATTTAGAATAGGGATTAAAAAAAAATCTAAATATAAGAAATACTTATCTGAACAAAAGCTTCTTGAGTACCAGGTATACATACAGTCGATACTACTTCCTCACTCGATTCTTTCAACGTTCCTGTAAAAGAACCCGAACTAAATCTTCATCATACCAGTACAATTCAATGAGGAACGGCAAGACTACGGAATAACAAGCTTCAGGACCAGCCGAATAAATGCAGAAATGTTACCCATTCGCATCGGCTCCCTTACTAACGTTCAGGTAGCCATTCCTGCAGCGTCAGTGGCAGCAGCAGCAACAGAGGTAACTACAACAATGGCGTTGACTTACACCATCCGCATCAAAGCAGCTACATGAGTCCTACGCAAAAGCAACCAATCTACAAAGCCTAACGAAATACCTGCAGCAGCGAAAAGGGAAGACAGGGACAGCTCAGGCCGGGACTCTTGATTTTGAAGGCAGCTTAGCAATTGGATGCTGCAAACGTTGAGTCGCGTTGTCCGCAGTGCCCCTTGAAAAGATAGCAAATGATAAGCCCCAAAGAACTTGCACAAAAAAAAAAATTAAACATTAAATAATTTAATTTGGCATATATCGAGTCACCGAGAAAGGTTCCATCCTGAATGACACCTTTTGATCTGAATACTTTTACGATCATTTTAGAAAAACTGGGCACCGATATTTTTTAAGCTTTAAATTGTGTTTTAAGTGTTAATATAAGCATAAGTTTTAAATAAGTTTTAATGTTAAATAGGTATTATAGAAAAATATTAAGTATTAATTTTAAAGTAAAAACCATAAAGATAAATATATTTCGACACCCAACATTATTAAGTTTCAAATTCAGTCGAATCTTTCATATCTGGATTTGTACGTTAAATACATACTTTTTTTTTTAAGAAACCCTTTTCTCTGTGTATTATGCAGGCACTGACTCCGACTTGGACTGGCTTTAAAGCGGCAGGAATTCCAACGAAACACTGAAAGCTGAAAAAATTGAATCTGGCCTGGCTGAAAAGGCGGGGTGGTAGCAGCTTTGGCGTTCGGTGGCCATTATGTTGCTGCTCCTTGGGGATCCAGTGCAAACATCAACACAAGCAGCCACGTCGATGGACGATTGACGATGGCTGGTGCTCAGGTAGATAAATTTATAAAACAAATCAAACGTCTGCAGTTCGGCGGATCTGGGCCTGCAACTAAAGTTCCAAAGGAAGAGGCTCCTCAGTCCCCTAACCCTAGCTGTCCCCTGGAAAATCTTCGACATGGTGCTGTGGCGTGATTATCCTGGCCCAACCCCGCTTTGTTTCCAACAGTTTGTACTGCCCTGTGGGCTTATTCAGCTCAATAACACAAATTTAGATAATGTCAGGTCCTCGAGAATGTAATAATAATCATTTAAAATAGCTAAATCAAAAACCATGCGTATTTCGCAGGCTTTTGAATTCTTATGCATTGAAAAATATCATTCAAGTTTCTGTGCTTGTCCCTATATGTAAAGCCTAGCCTATTATTCCAGATTTTAAGGACATGATTTTTATTTAAACATGTAATATTTGTTTCATGTTTTTATTTACTTTTATTTAAAGGACTTGCTTCCTCTGCCTTTACTAGAGCTACTGTTTGCACAGTTCTCAAGCCAAACCAT